TTTCTCCTTTTTCCAAGCAACTTCTTCAGCTATGAAGTGAAACTTTCCTTTTGGCGTTGTTACCGTGTATTTTCCACAGTAAAATTAGCGTGAAACTATGTCCTCATTATAACTACCAATAAGGACAACATAAAAGAACTTTCATCAAATTATTATTTTTTATTCAAAAAGTTCAAAATCAAAAACAGAAAAAAATACCTTACATTTAAAACAAAAACGCTCGTTTTCTATTCACTAAGAGGCTATTTTAACATAACTCTGCTAACAATAGCACTTCCCGTATAAATCCACCACTCCCATACTATCCAAATGGATGGAGATCGAAGCTTTATAATAGACTTTTACATTTATATTGAATGAGGATGGCAATCATAACCTAACCCAGTACAATAATACATTGCTTTCCTGACAATTTCAGTAATACCGAAACATATCTAAACAGATTTTGATCTTTATCTTGTCTTTGCGATAAAGCTTTCTGCTTGAGTGTTTTTAATACAACTAAACACAGGGCCTTGCTAGACCCGGGTGTTTTTGATACAACAAAGCACATGACCCTTCTCGACCCGGGTATTTTTTATACAATCAGCACAGGGCCCTGCTGGACCGAGGTGTTTTTGATACAACTTAGCACTTCTCCTATAACATAAGAGGCCGCTGGTCGGCCTTTTTTCTATCGGATATGATTTTGACGACTGCGACTGCGGCTGTCAATAGTATCTCGCCGTGTAAACCTCTAACGCTGTTGGAGTAAACTTGTAACACATGGCCCTGCTGGATCCGGTTTTTTTTGTTTTATACAACTTAGCACAGGGCCCTGTTCGGCCATACCCTTTAATACACCTTAGTACAGAAATAATTTGGCTTGGGTACTTAAGATAAGGTTTGGTGCCATTGACCCAAACATACGTAGCAACATGTATCTGCCAAGGCATCTCGGTTACGTTCCTTTTCACACCTATCGAACTGTGAGTCAACGAATGTAATGTAGTAGTATTATTTTCAGGAAATAATTTATCAGTATCCAAACATTCTAGTTAATCGTTATGCATATAAAACCAAGAATCCACATAAAAAATATAATAAACTCGATATTACATTACATATCTACACAATATTATTAATATTATATGTAGGTAATTAAAAAAAATATATCGCCCCAAAAAGCAAACCACACACACTAATTCCAAAATTTGACAGAATAAAGGCATTAGATATTATGGTAGCAGGCCTTAATGAGACCAACCTGGAATAGGTCAATCTACCTCATTATTTAAGAGGAACATATAGCCTACAAAAACGGTTTAAAAGAGACACACATATAATCGTGATATGTATCCACCAGAAACATAAGCTTGTCAGTTCAGGAAAGATAATTAGTTGGCTGGGTAGTTTATGAACTTAAGTAAGAATGGAAATGCCAAATTCCCTTTAGAAAGGTACAGTTTCGAACTGGAGCAGGTTCTTGAGATTTGTACATTTAGGAGAAAAATGCAACGATTCTTGAGATTTGAACAGTTAGGAGAAGACTACAACTGGAAACAAACAGCTTCCATTCAAAACTTCCAATCTGTAATTCGAAAAAGGATGACTGGTTGTCATTTTGTTGTAATCAATAAATCCAGGTGATTCTCAGTAACTATGAAATACGGGATACCAGATGCAGGACGATGACTCATGGTATATATTAAACATTAAGGTTTCTATCTATGAATACGATTAAGATTACTCTTTTGTATGCGTGTTTGTTTTCATATATCAATGCAACTATGAGATAAACAAAAACACATACTCCTTTGGATTTAACCTCAACGAGAGAACTGAATTATGTAGTCTTGGAATTGAAGATGTTTTGGTAAGGTTTGTTTTGCATTGCTTCTAATTATATAATCAAACCCGTATCGATTGAATGTTGTAAATGACACGTGAAGTTATTCAAGTGTTTGCTTATAAACAAAGAACTTGTCAGTAATTTATTTGCATGACATGTTTTAAACCTTTTAAAAAATGGCTATAAACTTGTTCCATATCAATCCCTATAGTTATGTGGATTTGATAGGGTGGCATCTTGCAGTTAATATTATACCAATGTATAAATACGTTATCTTTTATATTCTGTCTGATGATGTGTTTCATTCAATATAATCTAAACGGAGCTTGTTGCTTTTATGGGGCGATAATATCCATAATGATCCAAACATCAATGCCAAAAACTGTACCTATGCACAAAAAACTATTTGCCAGCACGACCATAGCTTTGATAAATCATTTCTTAAAAGAAAACCATACCTTACGACATCAGCAGTGTGCTAAGCGTAATAATGGATCGCAACCAGAATAGGATTCGAACCCCGGATCCCAGATCAATATATTGTCACTCTAACCATCAAAACAAACTAATAAACGGAAGTAATCTTGCCATGTCGAGTTACAAAGATATGCAAGACAAACTGTAAGGTTACTGTATGTACGCAAAAATAGTGTGGATCTCTAAAGCGTTTTGCATGTATCGGGACAGAGATCCTTGAGTACGTGCATGTTGCTACGATATTTGTAGGAAAATATAGTTGTACGTACTGTATCGTATAACAGTTATATGTTTCTATTTCTAAGTAAAAGTACAACAGTAAAATTTCATTGTCTTAATATTGCAGTCAAAAGGATGTAACATACATTAAGTACAAATACATCAATACTAATTAACTGCATTCATATTACAGTTAATGTAGTACTCATTAAAAAGGTACATCACTAAGTACTTATTGTATTAATTTTACAGTAACATGTATATACTTACATTTAATGAAAAGCACATCGATATATTAAATAACAGAATGCATGCTACAGAAACATGGAGTTAATCCTTAATCAAAAAGAATCAATACTAATTAAATGTCAAGAAAATGGTCAGACTATGAGAGGAACTGTGAGCAACATTCAACTAAAACTAAAGGACGCAACCAATTTTAAACTATAATTAAAGGACGCAACCAATTTTAAACTAAAACCGATATTGTTAATATGTTGTAATTTGTAAAGATGGTACACACTTAATGATTGCTGAAAAAACGAGATATTAACATTCGCCTGAAAATTTCAAAAACTTTGAAAATACGTTGAAATTTAAATCTCAGCGTTATTAAGAATTTGGCAAATTTGCCTTTTTTATCGAAAACACATTTTTCCTTTTTCTTCTTTTTGAGATTTTAAGAATCAATCGGTGTCAATTACCAGCCACTTCATTAATTTATGTTGCAGAATATGTAAATATGTAACAAATTTTGACTTATTTGTTTCCAGCTTACCTATCTCAATGACGCAATTAGGATGATAGACAGTTTGTATGACTATCCTTCATTTTATCGTAGATACTGTACACAGTTGGATAGGAGCCATGGCCTACATACAAAACGAAACTGCTCTCCTAACGTAATTCGTGGAACGCGCCCGGTACAACGAATCTAGAACGTCAATAGTCTCTGTAAACGAGAAACTAGGTCATGGAATAATCTTCCGCGAATAAGCGTAAAACGAAAGTAAAACAAACATTGTACTTACTTTTTATATTTGAAAAGAAAATCAATAATACACTTTCATATTTCACATAGATGAAGTGTAAATATTACTTTCTCTTTTAAGAATAAATTTGAAGCAAAACAAACACGTTAAACTGTGTGCGTATTGTAAGATTCCAAAAAAGGAAATGTAAATATCGTAAAAATTGAAAAACTGTGTTTATACCGCTAACATTAATTTTGATTACATAAACGTACCGTAGTTCATTTATGTTGCATTACTGAACCTTTATGATCCGGATAGACATATAAAAACCAGACATTCATCAGTTCTCATCATTTACATAGTTACATAAATTAAACCTGGATAGTTTTGTAGACTATTAATTAAAAACCGTACCCTAACATATTGGTCCCGATTAAACCAAACATTATAAAACCAGACCTTCACAGTGGTATCGTCGTAAACAAAGCTATATAAAGTTTAATTCAGAGATATTTAACAAAGCTATATAGAGTTTAATTCAGAGATATTTAACAAAGCTATAAAGGGTTTAATTCAGAGAAAGGAATATTTCTCTTGGTTTCTTTAGTGATCGGTTATGACATTTTCAAAGTAAAATTATGGTTTGATAGCTTAAGCCTCTAAACAATAATGCCAACATGATATTGGCATTTATTATTCATGATGTTCATTTTAACACAGATAAAATGAAAAGAGTCACATTGTGTTTTGCTGCATATATCAAATATCATGGTATTCGTGGTTTGGTCATTATGAAATCAGTTTCTCTGAAACAAAAATTGACTAATGTGCAAATATACGCAAACATTAACAACGCGTAAAATATTATTACGAAAAATTACACTCCGTGATAAAAAATTCCATAAACCATTACTACTAAAAATAACCGTTAAATACCACTCGGTAAAATAATAAAATAGCATTGCACAAAGTATACAAATATACAAGTGACGGTTCTGAAACGTTTCTGTTTAATTGAAAAAAATATATAATTTTCATTGTAAACATCACCCTAGTGAAATAGTAGTAACCTCTTACCGACTCGGCTAGTGAGGATCGCATTCCCTTAATTGGTAGAGCGTTGGAGTTGTAAGCTAGATTATGCAAACTCCTAGCTTTGATCCCTAGCTCAGGCTATGCATTTGAAACGACCTTGATTACATAAACATACATGGAAACATACCATTACATGAAAACAAATTCCATAATTATCTACTTTTTATAACAAGCATCTAAAATTAAAATGATATATGTGTACATATATAATATATAAAATAAACCAATATTAGGAGTTTTCAAAATATACAAGGATGTTGCTCTTTTAATAATTGATGATTTGTTTTACAGAATAATTGTAGAGTGTTAGATTTAATCACCGCATGATTGAAATTCAAATATCGAATATAGACAATATTTTAACCCTGTATTAAATAAAAACAATTATTTTGTTAAAACCTGATAAATATCACCAAATAATCAAATTTGTAAATACTGTATATTTGGAAAACAAATATTTAACTTAGAACGGTAGTCTAGTAGCGGAACTAAATCCGCTACTTAAATATGAACAGTTTCCCTTTTGTTACTTGCAGTTGAGTGCCCAGAATCAATTTGGTTAGTTGTTTAATTTCACTTTTTATTTAAGGTTAAAATGATACATCATATTCACGCAGCTACTGCAGAGGAATAATACATGTTTATTTTTTATATATATACATCATAATGTACAGCTTAGTTTATGATGTTGTACATTTTGTTATAAACATGATAAAAGATGCATAACAGAACTGATAATAAAGAATTTTCACTTGTGAAGTCTAGACATTGTCGTATATATGCTTATCAGTGTTCATAAATACCGAGGTAACACTGATTCTTTCCTAGAATGTGTAAAGTTAAGTTGGGCAGGTTTATAATACAGGAATACAGGTGTTTAAAAGAATGGAATTAAATCCTAATTTCTAAGCGGAGGCACCACCGCTTGTATGCTTTCGATGATAATCAACATATCGGTTTGAATACAAATTGATACGCCCTAATTTTGGTAATATACTATCTGTGTAGATACCACACGTCACTCAAAGTTAAGAAAATGAGTTAAAACACAAAATTGGCACTAACAATATATTTACAAGAACCCTTTATCTCGACTGTTTCCGGGCCCGTATTCATGAAACCGATCTCATGCTCAAGCATGGATTTTGTGCTCAGACCTAATTTCTTGTTTTAAGTCATAAATTAATAAACAACTCTTATTTTGTTAATGATTTGGAAAAAATTGAAGAGACTCAAAGCCAAATACTGGTTTCAATTTTCACATTTGACTTTTTGATAGTTTGAGGTTATTTAGGCGAGTTACAAAAAAGTAATTTGAGCACAGAATTCATGCTTTAGCATGAGAACAGTTCCATGAATACGGGCCTGGTTTCATTATGACGCTTTAACACGAATGTAGACTGTCTTTTACGAACGATTTGGACTAAATGCACTTTCTTATGTACGCGGCGCCCAAAATAGTAAGGCATTCCATAGTCGCTTCTCTGCTGTGTATCTATCGATGGCTTGGCTATGTATAAATGAATACAGTTATGTATTTTAATGCCGACATCAAAAGTGTTCACGGATTACGAATAATTCGTATTTGGGATTTTGCCATTGATTTCATTCTTATTAACACATGTATACTGTTCAAACACTGCAAGGGTATTGTGGCATTATGTGCTCTCGGTTGAACCATCTAGTCTGAATCAAATTGTTCGCCTAATTGTTCAATGAGTTCCCAAATGTTTTCTGCATAGCTGTTCCAGTCCGTTTCCGTTGTGTCCAATGGATGGAGTTTAGGTATTACGGTGACTTCCTGTTTTTCTACCATGTCCTGGAATCTACCACTAGAATCTGGTATCGAATACTCAAACACTGTTGTTATTTCGATGCTCATATCCTGCCAAATGCTGTATTCTGTCACTGGTCCCTCATAATGGTACGATTTGACGTGCTTCTCTCTCACGAATGATACTCTGTCCCTAAACTCTGGAGACACGTAAAGGACATTCGGTTGGGGTTTCAACAGCACACGTGTGCTAGGCTCCAAAAGCATTTTCGTGTCGGCCATCTCTTGTACGCCTTCCATGTCCATGAGACGTCGTGAGTGCAGCTTACACCGGACATCTAAACGTTTGTTGGCATAAGGTAAACCGATATAGCCGCGACACACGTCCATCGCCATCCACTTCAAATCAGAAAGCCGAAGCTCAATGAACAGGAGATCTTTGTCAAGGATAACGAGACCATTATGTGGTTTTCCATAATCTTGATTGCCCAACTTGAATGTGGCATGATACTTTACTTCTTCATGGCGTTCTTTGAAATTCGAGTTGCCTAGGAAAGCACTGACGTTGTTTTTGTCACACTCCTTAGGCATGAAAGAGCCTCTAATGCGTCTGGGTTTAGATTTAGTAAACTGACCATGCCTCTTGCGATTTCGCCATCCTCCACGCCCTGGCAGGTTCAGTTCTAGCTGCTTTTCCTGTGGGTTGACATGACCTTCAAACGCCATTTCAAATTCTGATATCGTAAACTGGGGATTTTCAACATAAAATATGTAGTATATTCCGAATGTAAGTGCAATTCTTAGATCCCCATGGTATGTTCTCTCGAAATCTTGTCGGATGAGGTCCATCTGTGTCCTGAATACTTCTTTGAACTTTTCCAAAGCTGTATTCTTATCATTCTGACAAGATGAGTCTACGAATGGAACGTACAATGTGAGTTGCTTGTGCGCTGGTTGACATCTGCCAGTATACCGATCGAATTTGAGTTGCTGATTCGGACCTGTCGACCCATAAAATATACGCTTGAATGCCCCACCAATGAAGGCTTTGTCTCGTGCTGAGGTGGTGACGAACTTTGATGACTTGTCATTCAGATCTTGAAGAGATTGTTGAACATTCCACAGTTCTTCGCGGGTTCCCCATGCTTCTAAAATGAGTCCAGGGATATCCCTGAACGTCTTTCTTCGTATGCTGATTTCGGCGCCGGTCTCAGCTGACAATCGTCTAGCGGTGTAGGTTTCTGCAAACATTACAGACCCCCAAATTTCTAATGGCAGATTGATCATCAGATGACCCTCTTCAATGATGTTTTGTTCAAAGAAGATATTTACAGATCTGTTTTTTGCAATTTCTTGATAAACGAAGAGAATTTCCTCCGTCAGATGTTTGAATTTCCTCCATCCTAGATTACCAGGTACCAGAAACCGTTGACTGCTGACATCATCTGTTGGGTCTGGCACATTTATTCGAATTTCCCCTTTCTTATCGCTGATCAGCAAAGAATCAAAATTTCGCAAGACGGCCATCACAAGACTAGCTGTGTGAAGTTGCTTGTTTGGAGTTATTTTTCCTGGAAGCCAAGATGATACATTCAAGTGATTCATGTCGTCATGCGTTGTCTTTGTTTCTGTTGAGTTGCCGTCTACATCCGACAAGAGTTTGAGAACCAGCAACGTAAAAACAACTTCAGAAAACACTACGGATCGGGATCTGCCAATAATTGTGTACTTCCTCGCCCAGTCGAGAAGAAACGTCAGGATAAGCGTATAGGTTTGGCTTTTTTGAAGTTGTCTTCGGATGGACTTTGTTCTGCCTATATCGATGGTGTTTTGGCTGAATGTGACAGTCACAGGATCTACGTCTATTTGGACGCGGAATGACCTCGGCGTTAAAGGCCAATAACCTGCCATAACATTCCTTAACAGGTTGTTGAAATCTGTTTCGGGGATCTGATGTTGCAGTTCCAGACAGACATCAATATCGCGAGTGTACATATCCATTAGACACAATGGTGGCAGTCCTGTGAAGGACACTCTTATCCCCGGTCCGAGGCAAAGATGGAGGTGATCAGAAATCATGGTGAAAGTTTCACAGAGAACCTTAAATGTTGCGAACCGATCCTTGTGTCTCGTATCAAAATGCCTTACTATTGATGAGCCGATTTGGACGAGTTCTGGTCTTTCTGGTTTAGCTGATTTGTCTGTTGTCTCCTCGCTGGTGGCCAGACATGCATTTGCTTTTATCTGGGACAGGAAATCGCTCATAATCCACGGGAAGCTGAGGAGGCGTTTCCCAGTGTTGGTTTTCTGAGACTCCACATCATACGCGACGACATACCAAGCTGACGCTTTTGCGAAGAATTTTTTCGTATCATCTGCAGAAACAGAATTGTCTTCTCCTTCTTCAGCAAACTCTTCAAAGAAGTCTGCTCGTACTTTCTGTCTGATAATGATCATTTTTCCTTGGATGATTTTCTCTATTTCATATTTTTCATTTTGGAGATAACCTCGTTTCTTCTTTAGTTTCTGAATAGCACCAGTAACAACTTCTGCTTCCGTTTCTATTCCGTATAGAGACATTAGTTGCGAGACTTTTTCATTGTACAGGTCATACGACAATTGTGCGGAATCTAGATACTTCTCGTATCCAGGATACATCATATCTCTGTCGACAACAAAGGCATCTTTGAGAAGGTCCATAATATATGTACGGTTGTGAGCTAGCTCCAACGATCTACTCTCGCGGTACAATTTTCCCAATATTTTTTTGGAAGTATACCGTGGTTTATCGGATTTCATCATAAAGTCTGGGTACTTTTCGGACCTTAAATCTGCAGTCATCTCTGGCACAGCCCCAGTTTTTGGAAAGTCCACGGCATCTGAGTGCTTCTTCGACAGTGTCTTACATTCCTTGCAGAAGATATCTTTCATGTCTGCATGTACAACGTGAGCATTTGCGATTACCCCGAGCTGATCGTTTCGGATGTACTCCGATATAAATTTAGTGACATCTGATACTTGAACATTTTTCTTTAACTCTGTTTTATTAGCCTTTGAGAAGTCCATAGCGTCCTTGTTTTCTCCTGGAGGATGCATAGTCTTATCCCAGCAAACGAAGTACATGTCTCCGTCCAAGTCAGAACCAGACATCTCGTCTGGGTGTGGACGGGATCCTCTTTGAGGAAACACGATACAGTCCACCAGGTGATGAAGTCCCGGAACATCTACTGCTTGAAACTTTCGCAGGTCACCAGGGTGAAAACAGGGGTTTTTGGCAACGACGACCTCGGCCTCTAGGACTTTGGTACCGTTGTATTTAATCCCGTCGTGCTTTGTAAAGGAAATAAAGACTTGTCCGTAATCCAATATTCCCGTCTCGTCAATAGTTCCCATCATGATCCTCCCCTGGTCATAATCCACTTCAATCCTCGTTTTTCGGATCAACTCACCAAGTTTGCGTTTGTATATTGTCATTAATACTGACCTGAAAAATGCCTCGCCGGTGAAAGATATTCCTGCCCTCATCAGGTCTTTGTACTTCATCCCAATATTGACCTGCAAGTAAAAACGAAAAGGAACTTACATGCTGTTCTGATAAACGTAGAACGTCACGAACATCGCACACATTAGAGAGCGTATTTGATATGTACATTCAAACAAATACGTTTGAATCCCAGAAGGAAATCTGACAATCTCAAAAAATAACAAGTAATTAAACGTATGATGTGTTTTTAATGGGAGAATACCCTTGAGTTGGTGCAGTTTTCTGCAAAAATGTCTTCATATAAAATGATCACAAAATAGCAAGTTGAACTTCAGGTATAAGAGTACCGCAAATGAAAATTCTTTAGGCATTCTTTTGGTGACCTGTAAAATAGCTTTCATTTTAATGTCACATATAAAAAAATGTATATTATTTTTGGCTTAACTTGATAAGGAAAGTGAAGAGGTCATTAATTAAACGGAATGAAAAATACTTCTTAGATACCTACCCTAAATTGAAAACAAAGTTAATTACCAGCGGATTATACAATGCAAAAGGGAGATTATCATGACAGTAATAATACATGTAGACAATTCAGGTTTAGTATGCTAGTTACAGAGAGTATATGGATAAATCTCCTCAACTCTATCCTTTTATTCAGGTTTCCTAAAATAAGTGAACGAACAATTTTCTACTGATATTATCACTTCCATGGTTCTCTTTTACGCAACATCACACCGGTCCTCAGCTTTAAACAATAATCACCAGATGGTAGGCTTTTTAAATTGCCTTTCGTCCGTTGTCCGTGGTCCGTTTTCCGTCCGTCCTTAAACAATTCTTGTTCGCGCTCTAACCTAGAAATGACTGGCGGGATCTCTCTCAAATTCACGTGACAGTTCCCCATGGTCCCCTAATATTTTGGGTTTGTTTAGAGAAACGAAAATGCTCGACAGATGACCTTCTTCTATTTTGACCGCACCATCTCTACTTCTCAGAAAGTACTGGAAGGATCTTTCTCATATTCTACATGCATATGTATATTCCCCTTGGTCCTTTGTTAAAATACCCCCGGGACTGTATTCATGAAACCGTTCTCGTGCTCAAGCATGGAATATGTGCTCAAACCAACTTTCTTGTAACTCACTTAAATCATGTCAAACGATCAAAAAAGTCAAATGGAACCGTAACAAGAACTCAGGCTTAAGCACAAAATCCATGCTTATGTATGAGAACGGTTTCATGAATTCAGGCCCTGGTCATAATAGGAATTCAACCCCCATTGACATCACTTATTATGTAAGAATTTCATTTATTTTTTGCATTCTTCATAAAAATAGTTTTCAGTTCTTATACAATAGTAGTTGTCATAGTGGCAAATAACATGTGACATTACGAAGTTGCAGTTAATGTACAAGATTCCCGATTAAGATTGCAACATGAGACTGGGTAATAGTACCTGTAAGGAAACTGAAGAGCAAAGAAGATAAAGGATCATCTTTTGTATATCTGATAAAGATCCTTTCAATTTGGGCGCCAAGGTCCTTCTAGGATCACTTCTGTATATTAATTTAATACATTGTAACTTAAACCAACACATGAAATTGTGATACCTTGCATGTATTATAATACCCTGTGTGACATAACAAAGAAAATGCAATGATGTCATTAATCTAGGACAAACGTTTCCTAGTCAAGTAGTCATGCAACATGTTACACCACCCTTATGTTCTGTATCATCAAAAATATTTTTCTTTATTTTCTCAATTGTTTTGTAAAAGCTTAAAACAGCTTACCTCCGCTAGTGCACGCATAGCCCTTTTGTTGTCTAATAACATGTCAGCCATGTTGAATAACATTTTCTCCTGCAGAGTCAAGAACACCTGGTCTGGGACTCCAAGGTCAGACATCAGAGTTATCACTTGTCTGTTTAGATGCAGCTGACCTGTCAATTTAATTAAATACACATGCCCTTTACATATTGCTAAATTTGATGCAAGTATATATTTATATTACCAATTAGAAACAGTATAATTAAGACAGGTAGCTCATATTTAAACCTTCGGATCAACATGCACTAGTGTATATGATGTATTATTTAATAATTCAATAAATGACAAAGAAAAACAATTAAAGAATGGGGACATGTTAAATGTATCGTGCCCTGTCCGGGCCCGACCTCACAACAACTGGCATCTAATCGCCTAGCCAAGAAATATCCGTAGCTATTACAACTACAAAAACACACCTCCTTATAAAAGAAGGTTTCGATGTTGCACGGTCAACAGGCCGATACTCCCGACATGGTTATAGTGACGAATCATCTATTGATGAGGACCTGTTGCGCAATATATAGATATTTATCACATTACTGTGTTATCCAGTGACGATACCCATGTCATATTTGTTTTGCGTATTAACCCTTGTAATATAACCTATCAGCCCTGTGATTTGTTGTAAGTTTCAATTGTTTCAATTTTGACGTCACGCCTAGGAGAAGTACATGACGTCACATACTTACGCACTGGAATCAAAATGGCGTTTTTTTTTTACATTTCAAGGTTGCAAGAAAATTGTCGCTTTACACGAATTATGCCACCAATCTTGATTATGTGATAAAAAGGATCTTACACTCGTTTTCATTTCATATAAAATTATGAAAATCATTACGAATTTTTCTTTTTAGCTCGCCAGAGGCTGGCTAAATTGAAAAATTCTTAGACTCGTTTCATAAATCTCATATGAAAAATCATGTAAGATCCTATATATAGATATGTACATGGATACGAATTGTACAAATACTATTACATATTAAACATAGTAGAATTACGACAGGTAGTTCATACTTTGAATGTTTTTTCCAATATACACTATATAAAATATTGTGTTTATTAATTGAATGACTAACATAGAAACACAAACGACGAAGGAAAACAATGTTATGACTGGTGTCCCTGTTTTATCGTGAGTTCGAGGCCCACACGGTGCACTAGTCAAAGAAATGAGATTGTGAATTTGTCAAGACGTACCTGGATGAGTTGTCTGTAATATTTCAAGAATTTTGGAAGAGGATTCGAATTTACGCATGCTTTTTCGGATATGGATTAGCTCTGCATTGCCAAGGGTGGGATCCTGGGAAACAACGCCTTTACAGCCACCGTAACGGATCTGGAACGCGGAGGGCACCGGTTCCATTAGCAAAGCACCTGCAACCTGAAATTATGTTAAATTAATTAAGCTCCGACAAAATGTTATTTTGAATGACGCGTGATTTGTTTTTGATTTTTTTTTATATTATTATTTTCTTCTTTCGATTATGGCAGAAGTTCCCTTGTTTATTTCAGAAAATAAGGAAAATTTAAAAATGGCGAAAGGTAGAAAATTCGAGGATGAAATCATAAAATATATGCAAAATATAGTATTCTTTTTATGATAAATAAAAAAGATAATGTTTCTTTGGAAAATGTATAAAACCAGCAACAACTGAAATGTCAAATTTAGACAGAAGGCTTTAAAGAATCATGACTTTGCTACTTGATCTTTGATCATTTCCAGAATAATTTAAAAACTAATACTGATATTACCTTTTTTGCCAATGGCACCGATATCTTCCCAATGCCGTCTGTGAAGCAGTATGGTTCGGATTCGATGTCATCAATGTACTCCACGGAACCGTCGTCTACATCTACCTCTACTGTAGCTCTAGACGCAGAGAAGCATAAACCCATGCGTGACACGTACGTGGCAACACATCTCTCTTTTGTTAGATCCCCAGCCGCAAACCTGATGCTTTCTGCCGTCTTGCCATTGTTAGGACAGAAGAACCACACTCCGTGTTCACGCAACTGGCTGTTAGAGCAAGCCAAGAACTCGTACTCCCTGTCACCAATTTTGAATCCAGCATCCATGAACTTGCAAAGTCGTTCTGTGATTTTCTTTAGGCCTTCCACCCGTACAGCACTCAGTCTTGTAAAATCTTCATCGCGGAACATCACCCGGATAAAGAAGTCATCATCGTACTGACGTATAATCCTGTTTTGGACAATCGGTTCCTTTGGGAGTGGGATCGTGCGAGTTGGAGTAACGACTATTCGCCTAGTCATGGAAAAATGTGATGGGAGCTCGTCCCTTTTGTCGGCGACGCTTAAATGACCAAATTTGT